GGCCAGCCCTGCGGCCAGACCCTGGGCAAGCCCGACTGCCAGCCCCACGGCCAGCCGCCTTACGGCCAACCGGACTGCCAGTTCCACGGCCAGCTTGACGGCCAGCCCGACTGCCAGCCCCACGGCCAGTCCCACGGCCAGCCCGACTTCCAGCCCGACGACCAGCCCCACGGCCTCCCCCACGACCAGGCCTACGGCCAGTCCCACGGCCAGCCCGATTTTCAACCCCGCGACCAGCCCCACGGCCAGCCCCGCAGCCAGCCCGACCGACAGCCCCACGGCCAGCCCCACGACCAGCCCCTCGGCCTGCCCCCTGGCCAACCCGACTGCCAGTTCTGCGACCAGTCCGACGGCCACCCCGACCGCCAGCACAACTGCCTGCCCGACGGCCAGCCCGACAGCCAGCACGACAGCCAGCCCCACGGCCAGTCCCATGGCCAGCTCCACGACCAGCCTGACGACCAGTCAGACGCCTCACCCGACACCGCTCTCGACGCCCAACCTGACGCCCTACCCGACACTCGACCTGAGGTCTTGCCCGACGCCCAATCCCACGGCCAGCTCCTCGGCCAGCCCGACGGCCAACCCGACGGCCTGCCCGACTGTGAAGCCACCCTCCAGACGGCTCTGGGGAGTTCCACCACGCCCGCACGTCAGCCTTCCCCTGACGAGCGGGGCAACGAAGCTATCCTACAGCTGGTTTCGAGGAGCCCTTTCGCCCCTATTCGTCTTCCATCTCCTGCCGGCGGCTCGACGCGGGCGGGCGCCTCTACAAGCAGCCGCGGGGCAACCCTTTCATCCCTGCAAAGCGCGCCAGACCCCCCCCTTCGGGTGGGGACGTGAGCTCGACCGTCGAGACGGGCCGGCAGCCCAACCGGGGAGCGTATTTGACGCGTCGGACGGGAAGGCGGCGGACGCCCAGGCTGTTCGCCGATCGCCAGCATCCAGGGCCAAGGGGCTCCCACACTGGAAGGCCGCTCCATAAAGCCCGTGTCCACGACTCCTAGTGGGAACCCCGCGGAGACGAGACGATCAGGCACCTTCGGGTCACCCTGGGTGCGTCGTTCACAGCCGTCTGGCACGCCTTTGTCGAGCAACGCGCTGCCCCTAGCACCGCGCGCGCCTTCGACCCGCGTCGGCGCGACCAGCGAACCTGCGTCGCCTTCCTGACTTCATTTCACAGCCACAGCTGCGATGCTCGGGCCACGAGCGACTCGTTGGGCCTGGGCATCGGCTGGGCGCAGGTGCGTGGACAACGCTTGGGACGCCGCGTCGGCGCGAACAGAGGGCGCCAGGCACCCCCGCAAGATGGTCGGGGCCTCGTGGACGCCGACGCTGGCCGCGCGCGGTAGGGTGGGAGTGCTCCCGGGCGAAGTTGGACCCTTCACGTCGAAGGCGCGGCCGTCTGCCTCCACCCCCGCGTCGACGGCGTCGGCGAGCCGTCAGCGCCCTGCCAGGGAATCAGCATGCCGCGAGCAAAGCTACCCCCCTTCGCTCTGCTGCTATTCGCACTCCGACCGAAGGGGATGTCTCAGGTGACAACTTCTCTCCTCTTCCTGCGGCTGGTAGCTGCAGACCCCCGCAGGGCGTCGACGCCGCTCGGGCGAAGCTTGGGTTCAGAACCAGCATCCTGCAACGTTAGCTGCCACTCCACTTGGTCGTGGACGGCAATCGGCTACCCCCCCGATTGCCGTTCCCAGGCCAACTTCCAGTATGTCTCAGGCGAACGCATTTTCTCCTGCGTCCCGCGGCTGTTAGCTGCGCCCTACCAGGGAAGCGGGCGTTCTCTTTCGGTGCCATCGCCCATGGCCCTGAGGCTGCTCGCCCGGCGTGCCTGGGCTGGGTGGGCTGCAGGTCTCAGGCGGCGCGCCCCCCCGCCATGAGGCTGCTTGCCCAGCGGGCCTTGCTGGTCACCCAGTATGTTTCAGGCGAATGCCTCTCTTCCCGCGCTCCCGCGGCGGTTAGCTGCGCCCTGCCAGTGCGCCGGGCTGTCTCGTGCGGTGCAATCGCGACCTCTTCCCTTTCCCGCGGCGGTTTGGTACGCCCCCCCAGTGGGCTGGAGGTCTCAGGCGATGCAATCCCCCATCGCCCTGAGGCTGCTCGCCCGGCGTGCCTGGGCTGAGCTGCAGGTCTCAGGCGGCGCAACCCCCCGCCCTGGGGCTGCTTGCCCAACGGGCCCGGGCTGTTTACCCAGTATGTCTCAGGCGACTGCATCTCTTCCCACGCTTTTGCGGCTGTTGGCTGCGCCTTATTAGAGCACCGGGCTGTCTCATGCGGCGCAATCGCGAGCTCTTCCTTTCCCCGCGGCTGTCTGCTACACCCCCGGCGAGCTGCAGGTCTCAGGCGGCGCGCCCCCCCGCCCAGGGGCTGCTTGCCCAGCGGGCCTGGGCTGGTCACAAGCGTGACCAGCAGCGCATCGAGCAACGCGGTCACGATCCGTACGGCCTCGAGCATGGACGTCCACAGCCACCTCCACGGCGGCCCCACGTCGGCACGCAGCAGGAGCGTGAGCGTAGTCGAGACGTGCAGCGCAACGTCGAACAGTACGGGTTCAAGTGCGACACAGTCGAGCAGCACCGCGCCGGCCAGCACTGCGGTGTACAGCGACACGACATTGACGGATACGACAGGGTCATTCAATCCCACGCTGAACGAGACGCGCTCCTCTATGGCCAGTACGAGCGGCACCAGCAGCACGGCGGCATGCTCGAGCGCATCCAGCAACAGAACTGCATTGTCCACAGCCTGACCTCCAGTGCATCGTTGTCTGGCAGTGCGTATCGCATGACCAGCAGAGCGACCTCGAGCTGCACGGTCACGACCAGTACGGTCTCATCCAGTAGGATGTCCACAGCCACTTCGACGGTGCGCTCCACGTCGCCATCGAGCCGCAGCGTGAGCTTGGACGAGGTGGGCAGCGCAACGTCGAGCAGCACGACTTCGAGTGCGACGCAGTCGAGCAGTGCCGCCCGGCCAGCGCCACGGTGAGCAGCGGCGCGACGCCGACGGATACGACAAGGTCATTCATACCACGCTAGCCGAGACGAGTTCTCGACGGCTAGCACGAGCGGCACCGGGGGTCGTCGGCCTTCCCGAGCGGCACCAGCGGCACGACGACTAGTCCGTGCACGACCTGCTACACAATTGCATCGTCCACCACCTCGACACCCAGTGCACTGTTGTCTTGCAGTACGCCTCAGCTGACCAGCAGTGCGGCCTCGTGCAGCGCGGTCGCGGCCACTACTCTCTTGAGCAGCGCGACGTCCACGACCACTTTCACGGCTACATGAGCAGCCGCGCGAGCGCGGTCGCGACGAGCGGCGCAGCTGCGAGCTGCACGACTCCGATTGCGACACTATCGAGCAGCACCGCGTCGGTCAGCACCTAGGTGTGCCGCGACGCGACGCTGACGGACACGTCAGTGTCATTCGATACCACGGTGACCGAGGTGACGCCTCCGACGGCGTGTACGAACGGCTCCAGCAGCACGACGGCTAGCTCGAGCGTGGCCAGCTGCACAACTGCGTAGTTCACCGCCTGGACTTCCAGTGCCCCGTTGTATAGCAGTACGCCACAGGTGACCACGGTGCGACCTCGGGCAGCACTGTCGAGACCAGTGCGGTTTCGAGCAGAGTGGCGCTCGCGGCCACTTCCACGGTGGGCTCCACGTCCTTATTAAGCAGCAGCGCGTGCGGGGTCGAAGCGAGCTTTGCAACCTCGAGTGGTGCGGTTACGAGCGCAACACCGTTGTGCCGCACTACGTCGCGCCAGCACTACGGTGGGCAGCTGCGCGTCGCTGACGGATACGGCAGGTTCTATTACGGTGGTGGCCGAGGCGCGTTCTCCGACGGCCCGTTCGAGCGGCGCCAGCAGCGCGACGGTTAGTTTGAGCGGGGTTAGCTTGAGCTTGAGCTTGAGCTTGAGCGGGGTTAGCTCGAGCGGCGCCGCAGCTTGACTCCCAGTGTTCGTTGTGTCACAGTGCGTCTCGGATGACCAACCGAGCGACCTCGAGCTGCGTTGTCACGACGAGTACGGTCTCCGACAGTGCAATGCCCACGGCCACCTCCACGGCGAGCTCCACGTCGGCATCGTGCTCTAGCACGGGCGTTGCCGAGTCGGACAGCGCAACGTCGAGCAGTACGGCTTCGCGTGCGACGCAGTCGAGCAGCCCCATCCGGCCAGCGCAAGAAGAGCAGGGGCATGACGATGACAGTTCGACGGTTCTGTCCGTGCCGCGCCGTCCGGGGCGTGGTCTTCGACCGCCAGTGCGAGTGGCATCAGCAGCACGTCGACCAGCTTGGGCGTGGCCAGCATCGCAACTCCATCTTCCCCCACCTTGGCTTCCAGTGTTTCTGGGCGGCACTCGGCGACCCTCCCGTTTGCCGCTCCCAGGCAGATCGCCAGCACGTCTCAGGCGAATGCAGTTTTTTCCTCCACTCTCCTGCGGCTGTTAGCTGCGCCCTACCAGAGCACCGGGCAGTCTCTTACGTTGCCAGTGCGTTGCGTTCCGCGGCTGTCAGTTGCGCCCTGCCAGAGAATCAGCATGCCGCGGGCGAAGCTACCCCCGTTCGCTCTGCGGCTATTCACACTCCGACCGAAGGGGATGTCTCAGTTGAAACCTTCTCTCCTATTCTTGCGGCTGTTAGCTGCAACCCCGCAGGGCGTCGACGCCGCCCGGGCGAAGCTTTTGTTCATAACCAGCGTCCTGCAACGTTAGCTGCCACTCCACCCCGCTCTTGGTCGTGGACGGCAATCGGCTACCCCCCCGATTGCCGCTCCCAGTCCAACTTCCAATATGTCTCAGGCGAACGCATTTTCTCCTGCATTCCGCGGCTGTTGACATCACCCTACCAGAGAAGCGGGCATTCTCATGCGGTGCCATCGCCCATGGCCCTGAGGCTGCTCGCCCGGCGTGCCTGGGCTGGGCTGCAGGTCTCAGGCGGCGCACCCCCCCGCCTTGAGGGTGCCCGCCCAGCGGGCCTGGGCTGGTCACCCAGCATGTCTCAGGCGAGTGCATCTCTTCCCACACTCCTGCGGCTGTTAGCTGCACCCAACCAGAGCACCGGGCTGTCTCATGCGGTGGTATCGCGACCTTTTCCCTTCCCCGCGGCTGTCTGCTACACCCCCAGCGAGCTGCAGGTCTCAGGCGATGCAATCCCCCATTGCCCTGAGGCTGCTCGCCCAGCGTGCCTGGGCGAAGCTGCAGGTTTCAGGAGGGGCACCCCCCCGCCCTGAGGCTGCTTGCCCAGCGGGCCTGGGCTGGTCACCCAGTGTGCCTCAGGCGAACGCATCTCTTCCCACCCCTCTGCGGCTGTTAGCTGCACCCACCCCCCAGAGCACTGGGCTGTCTCATGCGGCGCAATCGCGAGCGTTTTGCTCCCCCCGTGTCTCGTGGATGGTGACGGGCTTGCGGCCAGACTACACGGCCTTGGAGATGGCCTGATTGATGGAGGACTGCGTGTTCTACGCTTGCGCTGTTCTCGTGCCGGTGGCAACTCTGTGACACCCCAGCTGTGTGCATTGGTTCGGGTACGCCGCCCTTGCTACAATATCCGGCCCCTCTTGGCCTGAGCCCGAGTTGCGGCTTGTTTCCT